CGGAAAAGTCCCTGTCCATAGAGTCTAAGTTGATTCTACCGGCATCTATCAGCACTAATTTAGGGCTGGTGACAGTAAACTTGGCGGCAGATGAAGACGACTGAGTGAAGGGAGTATCAGAGCCGGGACCATCATTAACACCGATGGCTGAACAGGCTGATCCGATAAAAGAGGCTTGGTTACATGAAGTTAGAGGTTTATCAGATGAACCTGACTTGTGACGCATACGCCGAGCCTTAGCGTATGAGCGAGCCATTCCGGGTCCTAGGCTGGAACTAGTCTGGTATCAGGACAAAGGAAAATATCAGGAGAAACAAAAGAGACTTATAATTATAACCAGCGAAATGAGCGAAGCTAAAAGCAGGATAATAAATAGTCGAATGTAACAATAAAAAATAATATATCAAATGGGCTGTAAATATGAAGACTAAGATAGTGTGGCCTTATGTTTGGTCGCAGTCTTAATATTGGTTTGACCTCGTTTTCATAACTTGATTGGAGCGTCAGGCAGACCTTATGAAAATACCTGGTCCTGCTCCTCTGCTATTGTATTCCTGATGTCCAGAATCGGACCGATGACCTGGTACATCCTGCAGAAACTGACGAAATTTATCTGCCCTAAATTAAAGAAGGTGAATGACAAATTAACGAACACAATAAAGAACTCCTACGAATTTTGCCAAAGAATCAAGGGCACCAGTTTTAAAGGAAACGAACTTTTGATAAGCAATGATGTACAGTCCATGCACTAACACCTTAGGATAAAAAGCACTCAAGGCACTACTGGAGATCTTTGAAAAAGAAAGTGACACCTCGGAGACGGGGCAAATACGTAGTGTCCCTAACCCGATTAATCAACCTGACAATAAGAACTACCTAGTTCATGTTCAAAAGCCGCATCTATGAGTAAATATTTAGTCTGCCAATGGGCTCACCACACACGTCTGTTGGCTAATGTCTACATGGACGAGTTAGAGGATTTCATAACGTCATCTCAGCAGCCAAAAGTAATTATGCGATATTTGGATGACTACTTTGTACTTCGGTTGCATGAAAAAAATATACGATTTCCCGACCTCTATCTACGAAATGAATGAAAAGTCAAATTTAACATGGGTATGGAAAAGAACGGACACTTACCATTCTTTGATGTGGAAGTCAATCACTTAAGGAGACTCTCAAGAAAGGACTTTTCCGGAATAAATCGCATTCTGGAATAACTCTTAACATCCAGTCTAGCCATACTTATGCAATAAATATTATCATACTCCGGAGTATGGTCCTAAGAAGCCTATGATTAACTCATTCTGAGTTCTTGTAAGAGGAACTGAAAAAAATAACTCAAATGTCTATTGAAAATCGATATCCAGCAGAAGTAATACAAAGCTTGCCTACCCAAAAATGAAGAAGTCAGCAAAGTGGAGTGATCCGGAGTTTACAATATAAACTGCAAGGACTGAAAACAAAAATACATCGGAGAGAAGGGAAACACAATAAGCAACAACAAAGGAAAGAATCAAAGAACCCCAGCGACTAAGGATAAAAATGGATACAGGAGACCTGAGATACTTAAACACATCGCACTTCCCTGCCAGACAATTGACTGGAATGCAGCGGGAAGATTGGCCTTGTATGAGAAAAACACCAGATAAAGGAATATCAAGGAGGGTGTTGACATTCTCTTTCAAAGAAACCTGATGGATAGATTGGAAGATAAAAAAATCAGCGATAATTTCGCGTACTGCCTGGACAGACTTGGAGAATAAGCGAAGACATGAAAATAAGGATGCTTGATCCCAGGATAACCGTTCAACAACAGGAATAGACATTTCCAAGGAGCGGCTCATGAGAGATGAAGGGCAGTCAAGAAAAGGCGATTTCAGTGAATGAGTCAAACCTAGAATCTACACAAAATTTACCCGAGGAAATGGGACAGGAAAGTAAGGCTAAAGGTATAGATAGCCCAGATATAGATCGTCAGCGTGCATGTGCGTATTTTTCATGTGTATGCCTTAATAAGAAGTGACTG